GGTGCCACTTGGCTAGATTAGATTAGATTTTGCTAGAGAGAGATTTTAGGAAGGGATATCCAAAGGGATAAACATAGAAGAAAGAGGGGTGGGTTAGGCATGATGAGGTGTCATTATGAGAGGAGAAGGGAGTGATGAGGTATCTTTATGAGGGAGCAAGGAAGGCTAAAATGAGAGGGAAGCTCAAGCCTTGACGTGGCATCATTCTACTTTAGTATATACTAGCGAGGACCCATGGAATGCACAGCTTTGTTAAGCGAAAGTTAAACAATAGAAATACAAAGGAGTATATAATTGTTTTATATTTTAACTTTTTAATAACCAATTCGATTGAACTCGACCCAAGTTGGTCGGTTTTCTAGTATTTTCGATTGGCTTTGGTTTAGCAATTTTCCAACTTGACCAAGTTAGGTCAGGTTGATTTGGCCATTAGTAAATCACCCAAATTGAACTGACCCAACCATAGATATATATATATATATATATATATATTTTATATTTTAAATATGAATTTTTAATACGGAAAAGTGGGAAATTCCCATGTTTCTTAGTCTAAAATATTTTATATCCTAAATTTAATTTTTTTAATAATACCACTATAATTTATTAAATTTAAATTTAATTTAAAGTTTAAATCTTTTGAACAAACAAACCGAACCAAAAATAGACCCAAATTGATACAACCCAAGTTAACAGGTTTTCACTAATGGTCAATCATTTCGGGTGACAAACTCCTGACCTAACCAAGTCAGTTTGGGTGGGGAAACAACTTGCAATCGAATTGAACCAATCCCTGAACACTCCTAATTTCAGTTATATTAATAGTCTAGTCTCTAATAAATAACAATAATTTATCTCCTATAATTAATGAAAATTTATAGCAAAAATAAACAATTATTGAAAATAAATTTATAATGAAAACACAATAGATATTTAATAAGAATACAATAATTGCAAAAATACAATAAATACTTAAAATATATAATAAATAGTGTAATTTCAAATAATAGTTTAATCTCTAATAAATATTAATCAATAAATTATAAAAATACATGATTACTAAAAATAAGTTTATAACAAAAATAAAATAAATACGATAAATTAAATTTCAAAAGTTAAATCATGGCTGTTTAATCTCCAATAATTATTGACAATTTACTATTAAATAACAATGCAAAAATAGATTTATAAATAACTATTGAAAACATATTTATAAAAAATACAATAAATAATTATTGAAAATAAAACAATTATTAATTTTAGCATATATATATTAAAAAAAAAAACAGTCAAGAAATTTTCTCCTTTTTCTCCTTTTTTATTTTTTGTTCCATGTCATTTTTTAAAGAACCAATGAGATGCTCTCATTCCTCATGAAAAATTATCTAAAATCTCTCTCTCATACCCACAAGTTCCCAACAATCTGCTCTCCTAAAATTTATCCTAAACTACCTCCCCCACTTTCACCTAAATCATCTCCAATTCGTATTTATCTCCTAACTTATCTCTAATTTGAGTTTGGATCTCTTGCCCACACAAATTATGCTCACGTCTACCCACATACAATCGCAACCACACATAGAGAACATCTCATCCTCCTACATAATATTCAAAATAATAATAATTTAATATTTTCACAAAATTAATAATTAATTCACGTAATAATAGTATAAAATTTAAAATATTTATTAAAAACACAAAAAATAATTATAATAGATTTAATAATATTCATATTATTAATAGTTTTAAATTTTTACAAAATCATCACAAAACAATGTACTAACAATATAAATTATGATTATCCAGATTATTCAAATTAAATGCTATTCAAATAATAGAAATTTTACACTAAAAAATAAAATATTATTTCAATATTTCAATTACTAAATATCTTAAATAATAAAATACTAAAAATATCTAAATAATTACATAGAAAAATATTTAACTATTTAAATATTTCAATAACTAAATATCTTAAATTTAAATAATAAGTATTTTAAATATTTTATATATTATTTTAATATTTAAATAACTAAGTATTTTAAATAACAAAATATTTAACATAATTATATTTTAGATAGTTAAAATAACGAAATTATGCAATGAAATAGAAAAATCTTAAAATAAAAAAAATCATAACATATTCAAATTAATAATAATTTAATATTTTTAGAAAATTAATAATGGAATTTATTAATAATAGAATAAATTATAATTTTATAGATTGTTAAATTCAATAAATAATTAAAATTAAAGAATTTAAATAAGGATATTATTTAAATAACTAAATAATATTTTAAATAACCAATTTAACTTACATCAATTAATAAATATTGAAAAATATCTTTCAAGAAAATAATATTAATTAATCTATATATATATATATATATATATATATATTAATTCCATGTCATTTTTCAAACAACCAATGAGGTGCACTTTCCCAATAACCTAATAATCTCTTCTCCTAAAATTTCTCCTAAAATACCTCCTCCACTTTCTCCAAAGTTATCTCTAATTCATATTTATCTTCTAAATTATCTCCAATTCCTATTTATCTCCAAAATTATCTCTAATTTATAAGAGAGTTTCTCTCCTAAATTATCTCTAATTCCAATTTATCATCTCCCCTACTTTTTATCTATATCTATCTAAAGAATTTGGGTTAAAAAATTTAAGAATTATTTAAACATTATAACAAAATTATATAATAACTTTAAAATATTTATTAAGAATACAAAAAAATTATATTTTTACAAAATATATCACGAAATTATGTACAAACAATTTAAATTATGTTTTTCAGGATTACCAATTTAAATGTTTTCAAATATTTAATAATATGTAATAGCTTTACATAAATAAAATTCAAATAACAAAAAATTTAAATATTTTATAGATTATTTAAATATTTAAATATTAGAATATTTATCAAAATTAGATTTTAAATAGTTAAAATAACGAAATTATGTAACAAATTTAAAAAACTTCTTTAAAGTAGAAAAATAATTATAACATAATATTGGAATTAATAATAATTTAATATACTACAAAATTAATAATGAAATTATGTAAAAATAGTATAAATTATGATTTTATGGATAATTAAATTCAATAAAAAATAATATTTACAATTTAAATATTTTACATATTATTTAAGTATTTTAATAACTAAATATTGTAAAGAACAAAATGTTTAACATAACTAGATTTTAAATTGTTAAAATAAAGAAATTATGTAATAAATTTAAAATAAAAATTCTGAAAAGTAGAAAAATAATTATCACATAATATTGAAATTAATAATAATTTAATATTTTTTACATAATATTGTATATAACGAATTTCACTTATATCAAGTAATAATTCTAGAAAATGGCTTTCAAAAAAATTAATATTTATTAATAATAATTTTAAACTCTTAATCTGTATTTATTATTTAATTATATATACTAAATTTAATATTTATTGTATTTCAGTAGCTATTTATTATTTTTTGTGATAAATGTATTTTCAATGATTTTGTATAAGTTTATTTTGTTTGGTTATTTAACAGAAAACTTTCAATAATCATTGGGGATTAAACTACTACTATTGAAATTTTTAAATTTAATTTATAGTATTTTTTTTATAACTTTTTGATTAATATTTATTAGATATTATACTATTTATTGACTAAGTTAATATATTTTTAGTACTTATTGTATTTTTTCATTATCAATATATTTTAATAATTGTGTATTTTTGCTATAAAGTTTCAATAATTATTGGAGATTAAGTGAAATTCCAATTATGAGTGTTCATGACTTGGTTGGGGAGTTGGTCTATTGAAACCGACTGACCTTTTGTGAAAACCGACCCACTCAAGTTGTATCGGTTTGGGTCGATTTTTTTGGTTTTGTCAGTCGGTTCAAAAGATTTAAACTAACACTATCATTTTCCATTGTTATCTAATGGAAGATTGATTAAATCCATTGCAAATTATAAGTGGTGTTTTAGTAAAATACTAACTATATGGTAGATTTTAGTAAATCCATGAAACTATAAGGGGTATTTTAGTAAATGACCATTTTTCAATTATTTAGCTTTTGCTTAATAAATCCCGTGCATCGCATGGGTCCCCGCTAGTGAATGTTACAATGTACACTATTATTGTAAAACTATTACTAATAAATAATATTTTTTAAAATTATTTTCTATAATTATTAATTGATATAAGTGAAATTAGTTATTTACAATATTATTTAGTTATTTAAATAATTTTGTTATTTAAAGTTTTAAAATATTAATTATTAATTGAATTTAAAAATCCGTAAAATTATAATTAGTACTATTATTACATACTTTGTCATTAATTTTGTAAAATATTAAATTATTATTAATGAAATCTATTATAATTATTTTTCTACTTTAATAATTTTTTAAGTTTATTACATAATTTTGTTATTTTAAATATTTAAAATTAAGTCATGTTATATTTCGTTATTTAAATATTTAAATAATATGTAAAATATTTAAAAATTTTCATTATTTGAATTTTATTTATTTTAATGTTATTATATAATATTAAATATTTTATTATATAATTATTTAGCTATTTCTAATGTTTTGTTATTTAAGATATTTAGTTATTGAAATATTTAAATAATGTTTATTTTTTATTATTTGAATAACATTTAAATCAAATAATTTGTAAAACTATAATTTATATTGTTACTACATAATTTCATTACGAATTTTGTAAAAATATAGAATTATTAATAATAAGAATATTATTATATCTATTATACTTAAATTTTGTGTTTTAAATAAATATTTTAAAGTTAGTATATAATTTATTTATAATATTTAAATAATTCTGAAATTTTTTAACTGAAACTTTCTTTAGATGGATGTAAATAAAATGTGGGGGAAAGGATAAATAATAATTAGAGACAGTTTAGGAGAGAATCTCTCTACTAAACTGAGAGATTATAGAGAATTATAAAGAGAGAGAGAGTAGAGAGACTGAGAGAGAGTAGAGAGAGAGAGAGAGAGAGAGAGGATGGTTGTTTGCTGCGCTTCCACGAGTGAGACTCCACTGCTGGGAGGAGGAGAAACCGTAGAAGGTATGGTGGATTATGAAGGTCGCAGGGTTATCAGATCCAAGAGCGGTGGTTGGAGATCTGCAATTTTTATTATAGGTGAGTTCTTTTTATTGCCTTAATTAATTCGTCTTTGAGGGTATAAGAGTCGAGCTCGATGGACCGCAGGAGTGGAGATGGCGGAGAGGGGTTCTTACTACGGGATTAGCTCCAATTTGATTAGTTATCTGACGGGGCCGCTCGGACAATCGACGGCGACTGCCGCTGCAAACATGAACGCATGGTCGGGGGCGGTATCCATGCTTCCTATGCTGGGAGGTTTTGTCGCTGATGCTTATCTCGGCCGCTTTCGGACCATTCTCTTCGCTTCTCTCCTCTACATTCTTGTTAGTGTCTCTCTCTCTCTTATTTGTCTTTCCTCATTTAATGATTTACACAGTTGCGTTTGCGGCCAATCCAATGATAGTGGATTACGCACTTATCACCCAGAAAACGTTAAGATGTCATGTCAATGGAATGGTGTTGGGATTGGATTTTGGTTGGTCGGAGCGGATTAGGACCCGACCCGATTATGCAGAAATGTATTTTGGCAATATTACAAAAGTAATGATTATTAAAACTCCCCTTCACTTTTCCAGTTTTTCTGTAACTTATCCTGGCTTTTCAAAATCAACACAGACCGGAACCCCTGCCAGAAATCTAACCCTTTCCACAAATTTACTATATTACCCCTCTTGTCAGAGATGTATGTTAGGAAATGATTTACCAAAATATATTAATAGTTTGTAGTAGTATTTTCAAAATTAGACTGGACCGAGTGGTCGGATGGGAAAACTAGGAACCGGTCACTTAATTGGTTTCGTTTCATCCCAAAATTGATTTTTGGTTAAAAATCATTGATTTGGTCAATAAACTGCTAATCCGGGCAGTCATACGTCGATCCAAGCAACGATATTTGGCTATTTATTTGTTTTTTTATTTTTTTGTTAGAACGGATTATCCACTCAGACCAAATGGTCAGACCATTTGATACAGGAACCGGACCCAGAACGGTTCCCTGTGTTGTCCGATTTCAAAAACCTTACTTCGTAGATTTTAGTTAAATGGCATGTTAGTTTGATAGATTTTAGTTTTTAGTTCAACCATTTCATCAATCATCAAAGACCCCTTTTTTAAAATACTTAAGTGTCAGGACTGACCTTGGGTGGGTTGTCTTGGAGACTTGGGAGAGGCGCTGAGAGCTTTATTTCCAACAAACGGCTTTCAGGCAAAATTTTTACCAACAAGTGAGTGGCCACGCTGTCGTACTTTAATCTTCTATATAAACAATAAAACGATCGAGCTCTCTGCTTGAACTTAATGCCTTGGTTCTCCATGGTAGGAGTAGCCTAGTAGGAGACAAGGGAGAGTGAGCGGAGAGAGTTTTAATGTTAGACTTTGAGCTATTCTATTTCTGCTTGAACGGTTGGATTTTGATCTTATTGGATCGCAGATTTCTTTTCTATCCGAATAGAAAAAGATTCATCATAAAAATAATAAAAAGAGAACATTAATATAGTTTACTTCTTGCCTTAATCAAAGGCCATTACTGAATAGAGATTTATATTATTTATATTTGTATTTAATATCTATATCTATATTTATTTATAAATCTATATATAGCTATGCTATTATAAAACAAATACTTGTTTTGGTTTTGGTGTATAAAAGTTAAAGTTGATAACATGTTAACATATATCTTAACCTTGCACATTATTTATAAATCTACATCTATATAAAATGGATATTTGCCTTGGATTTCATTTAGGTCATGTATAAAAGTAGAAATGATTTTATGCTTTTTAGAAGCTTTGAAAAGCTAAGATTGTTTGAGTTGAGTAATTCTCGAATATTTGAAATTATAAAATTTACTTTTTTACCTTTGAAAATAGATTGTTTGATAATAATAAATTATATAATATTACTATTAAATAAAATAATAATAATAATAATAATAAATAAATATTATTAAGCATATTAGTCAATACTATAATTTATTTAAAAATATAATATTATTTATAATTTAATTTAATTATTATATTTCAATAAACAACAACAATAATAATAAATATTATTTATTATTATTAAATAATTGATGCTAATGAGGTTAGTAAGATTACTCCGTCACCTTACTTGCGCACGTGCATTTCATGTGCTTTTACACTAATAATCTATAAATATGATGCTTTCCACGTTAGTAAGGTTGATTGATCTTTCAAGATAGATTAGTTCGTTCATTAAAAATTTAAGAGGATAATTGGACAATTTTGTTAATGGTTGACCGAAGGTATGTTTTTTATAACAAAAATTATTTGACAGGGGTCCTTGGAGGTTTTAAACAGTCAATGGTAAGTTGAAGAGAAATGGAGAAAAGTGAAGGGGAGTTTTACATAATAACCCTTAATAATTTAATCATGATCTTTTTGATAATTTTTCTTATACTTAGCAACTTAGCATTAATAAAATGGTATATTTTCCAGTCATGTGCTTTACTCAAGAAGATTAATTAAATGATTTAAGAATCTTTCATGGTATGAACTAGGGGTGGATTCGAGCCAAGCTGAGCCGAGCTGAATATTTGGGTATTCGAGCTCATCTCAGTATAAAATTACAAGGCTTGAGCTCGGGCTTGAGCTCGATTCAAACTGAAAATGCAAGATCGAGCTCATCTCAAATGAAAAAACTATATATTCGAGCTCGATTTGGCTCAAGCTCGATAATGATCCGAGCCTATTCGAGCTCGAGCTCGAGCTTTAATGAACCTGTGGCATCTGTTTAAGAAAAAAATAAGCTCGATTCAGTTTAGACTCTATTTAAGAAAAACAAAATAAGACTGCTGCAACCCTGTAAGTCTGTAACTTACCCAAAACAAGAAATTTCAAACAAAAAAGAAGAAAACTAGATATTAGAATGACTAGGGATAGAGTGCGTAAGACCTGAGATGGTGAGAGGTTGGACTGCGAGAGGCTGTGACCTACGGCTGAGACCTACGACTTGCGAATTTGGAGTCTCTGGACTGGGACCTGCGAGCTCCAATTGAGAGCTGAGAGGAGAGGAGAGCTTGAGAGGAGAGGAGAGACGAGAGGCGGAGCTGTAGTGGTGGTGACCGGTGAGAGGCTGAGGCCTGACCACTTGAGAGCTTGAGAGTTGAGAGGAGACTTGGAGAGGAGAGACGAGAGAACAGAGAGGAGAGGAGAGACGAGAGGTGGAGCTGTGGTGGTGGTGAGTCTGGTGACTTGTGAGAGGCTGAAGCTTGAGAGTTTGACTGCCTGAGAGCTTGAGAGTTGTTGAGAGGAGACTCGGAGTTGGAGAAGAGAGACGAGAGAGCAGAGAGGACAAAGGACAGAGATGAGAAGAGTGAACTTTCGAAGGGTTAGGTCAGGTCGAAGGGTTTTTTGTTTCTGAAATTGTACCATGTATAAGGGACTATCCTTATAAAATAGTTTCACAATTAAAATTTCTTGAAAAGGTATAATATATATATATATATGAAAATATAAATTATATATAATTATATATATAAGCTCGTTAGGCTCGATTACAATACAAATTTGGTATGAAGCTCGAATTCGACTCAAAGCTCGATTTGAGTCAAATCGAGCTGAGCTCGAATGGCTTGTGAAAAGCTCGACTTGTGTTCACCCCTAGTATGAGCAATGATTTCTAATTTTCTACCCTGGTCTAGCCTGGTTCGGTCCATAAATTCGTGGGCTTAGGCTTAGATATTGATTCTAGAACCACCCTAAGATATATTTATATATTACATATAGGTATATATATGTTTTATTTTACTTTATTTGATCTATTTTGTATAAATATCATAAAGTAACTCATATATTATATTATATTATATTATATATTTTATACTTGCACTTATATTATGACATATATTATATGTTCAATAATATAAAATATTATAGATATTAAATATATTGTATTTAAATCCATAGGCCCTAAGCTAGGCCCGGGCTGCAGGTCTTGTCATGGGTGCTACGCCCAGCTCAGCCCATGAAACCCCCTAGGGAAAATATGTTTCTTTGACTCACTCTAAAATTAAGGGAAAATTCCCAATAGGTACCTTGTATTTTAGGTCGAAAGCCAATTTAGTATCTGTATTTTAAATCGCAACAATCTCGTACTCAAACTTTCAATTTGCAACGATTTGGTCCCCAACATTAGATTTCCATCGATTAGAAGATAAAAAGTTTTAAATAACCCAGTGTTATTTCGACCATTTAAAATTACTAAAATAGCCCATGAGCAATGGAAGTAGGAACCACTGTTCATACTTGCATTTACAAGAATCCGAGAACCAGCTCCCTCACGCCGGTGGTGTCAAACGAATGCGCCACCGGGAAAGTTGATTTCGACGTACACGATGCCGGAAATTATTGCGCTGCCGAGAATCCGAGAACCAGTGCCGTTTTCGGAGTAAACACCCACTGTTTACTCAGCCGTTGCCGGAAAAGATGACTTGTTGTCGGCGCCGAAGAGACAACTAGGGTTGATCTTGTTATTCAATGGAGGCCGGTTCAAAAGAGGAGAAGAAAAAGCTGGAAGGGAAACCCATCCGAGATGTTGTTCTTCTGATTAGGGAGAAGGGTCCGCTGCAGGAACCGAAGAGAGTAACAGAGGAGTTTCACCGTTGCAACTCCTCTATTTCAGTATCTCCTCGCCATTGAGGAGTGCATGCTCAATGAGGACCTGTCGTTGATTCGCACTGTTCATCTTCTTCACAGAGAAGCAGAGTGGCGGCAGAGCTGCCGAACTCAGCCCTTCGTTTCTCAAGCAACAACCTTCCTCTGTCGTTGTGGTGGCAGAGCAAAAACTGAAAATCACACTGTTCATCTTCGGTTAGGTTGCTCGACCAACGACCTTCCTCGGTTCACCCTGGCCAAATGGATTGGACCCCGAACCCGACCCCGACCCCGACCCCGACCCCGACCCCGGCTCATTACCCAGCTCACCACCCACCATCATTTCATCTCCAACCCCATCTGACACCGTCGCATCCTTCCTCTATCACTTCACCGGCGCAACCTTCCTATCCTTCAACCTCCTTTGACAAAACCACATCTGCAACTGCCGATCCGTCAGCCCCAGCTTTGCCGATAGCTCCGCTCGCAGAGACTCCGACTCGTTCGAGGAAGGTTGTTGCTCGAGAAACGGAGGGTTGAGTTCGGCAGCTCTGCCGCCACTTTGCTTCTCTATGAAGAAGATGAATAGTGTGAATCAAAACCCTCAACGGTTCGCATCCAAACCCAATAAATTAAAACCCTAAGAAATCAAAAAACGCAAACATACCAAACTAAAAAGAACCAGAAAAATTCAAAATTTTAACAGACCGGCGTAGGTCTTCTCAAGAAGTTCCAACTGAGAAGAAGTCTTCATTTTGCGCTTCACCTTCTGTTCTCCTTTTTCATTGGAGCTGATATGCCAATGATTCTCCTCTTTCATTGGAGCTGATATGCCAATGATGAAGAGGTATTATGAACCGCCGCAGTCCATAACCGAGCTACGTGCGATTGCTTTTGTGAAATGGAAGTGCTAGGAAAGAAGGCAAAAGGGGTTCTCCTCTTTCGTTCGCCCCCTCTCTTCTCATCTTTCGTTCAACCCAGAATGAAGACAATAGAGGATTAAGGAAATAAGAAGGGTAAAGGGTAATTTTGGTATTTTGAAAATTTTTAGCCCGCATGTGAGACTTCTAGCCGATGAAAATCTAATGTCGGGTATTAAATTGTTGCAAACTGAAAATTTGAATAATAGATTATAGCAAATTGAAAGTTCAGGTATTAGATTATCACGATTTAAAGTACGGATACTAAATTGGAACTCGGCCTAAAATACAGGATTTACGTGGATGTGAAAGCTACTGGTAATTCTCTGAGATTGCCATGTTCACTTTATGGGGAAAACAATGTAATATAGAGCAAAATAGTAATAATAATTTTTCTACAATTTTTTTTGGTAAGATAGTTTTGCTACATGGTGCACAGGTATTGACTATAAATATCTCAAAGATATTTTATAGTGTCCAACAAGAGAATTATCTTGAAATGTGGCATAACAGAATTAAATTTGGAGTTTGGAGTGCTCATTGTATTGTTTTTTGTTTTCATCATGGAAATGTGGCATAACAGAATTAAATTTAGAGTTTGGAGTTTGGAGTGCTCATATGTTGGAAGTTGAAGGGGATAGAAGGGAAAAGAAAAGGGGCAGAACAAAAACAACATGTCCTAAATTAGTAAGAAATGATTCAAGCATTCATATAGTTTTACAGAGGACATGACACGACTAACCGGAACATAACGTAAAACATGATTCATGTAACTGACCTCATATAGTTGGGATAAGGTTTTAGATGATAATAATAAGTGGTATTGTACATGTCATACAAATAAAATTATGATGGATATGATACTATATAGGATTCATGTCTTTTTTATTATTCTTACAAATACAATTATGATTTTATTTGAGTTTGAATATTTAATCCAACCAACACAGGGACTAGGGTTGTTAACAACTTCAGTAATTCATCCTTCCCCCAGCTTGCCTCACTGCCAGAATACAAGGAACCACAGCTCATGCCCTCCTTCTCAATTCCAAATTTTCTTCTTCTTTGGCTCTCTGTATCTTGTGGCCCTTGCCCAAGGAGGGCACAAGCCATGTGTACAAGCTTTTGGTGCAGATCAGTTTGAAGGAAGGAACCCAGAAGAGTGCAAATCCAAAAGCTCATTCTTCAATTGGTGGGTATTTGGGGTATGCAGCAGTACCTTTATATCAGTTGTGGTCTTAAGTTACATTCAAGACAATTTGAATTGGGATCTTGGATTTGGAATTCCTTGCATTTCCATGGCAGCTGCACTTGTTGTTTTCTTACTTGGAATGAAGACATATCGATACAGTTCTGGAGAAGCTAAAATCAATCCATTTTTGAGAATAGCCCAAGTGTTTGTTGTTGCAGCAAGGAACTGGCACACCACTCCAACTGTGGATGTTGCCAAAGAGGAAGAAGCAAGAGGAGTACTCTCTCAGCATGGCATATACCAATTCAAGTAAGAAAAAAGAATTTCTCATTCTTAATTTTAAGACAGATCAAGTAATTCAGGAGCTGCTTATTATTGGTGCCATGAATGTGGAGGAAGGTCATATCTTGTCCATGCATCTATAATGGATTTTAGTATGTGAGAAGGTCTTGATCTCATAGTACAAATAAGTATTCATATATAAGAACTTGTAACTTTAACAGGTGATAAAATCAGAGAAAGTAGACTAAGATAGTTTTGTCACATTCATAGAAAACCATTTACAAAACCCATACAAATAAGTAATCTGTTGCTAGTTAGAAGAAAACGGAAAGGGCAGGGGAAAACCAAAAGGAACAGGGGCAAAATAGTAAGAAATGATTTAAGGGCTCATAATTTAACAATGGATATGATCATACATCACTAAACAGATTGGAAAGATGAAACAGGATTCATGTAGATGATCCCCTATAGGTAGGTATGGCTATTACATGATGATGGTGACCTATATAACCTCGAGCCAGAACTTGAAATAGTGTTCACATCCAATCCTTCCAACTTCTTGTTTTTGATTTCTTTCAAATGATGCAGGTTTCTTGACAAAGCATTGGCTACAGTTTCAGATGATCAATATGGTTCAGATGAAAACTGGAAAATCTGTAGCAGCAGTCAGGTGGAAGAAGCAAGGGTAGTCTTGAACTTGGTTCCTATATGGGCAACATGTTTAATGTTTGCAGTTGTATCTGTACAATGCTCTACTTTCTTCGTCAAGCAAGGATACACCATGGATAGATCAATAATGTCTGGTTTCGAAATACCGCCTGCTTCACTCATATCTTCTATCTCTCTTTCGGTTGTTGTCTTCATTCCCATCTATGATCGTGTTATTGTTCCAATTGCTAGAGCTTATACTAAGAAGCCTTCTGGGATAACAATGCTTCAAAGAATTGGAATTGGAATGTTTCTGTCTGTCATCTCCATGGTTGTAGCAGCAGTGGTTGAGAAGAAAAGACTTAAAGTTGCCAGAGATTCTGGGCTGGTAGATATACCACAAGCAACTCTTCCAATGAGAGTGTGGTGGCTAGTTCCTCAATATGTCTTGTTTGGCCTAGCTGATGTATTCACATTGGTTGGTTTGCAAGAATTTTTTTATGATCAAGTGCCAAATGGGTTGAGAAGCATGGGTCTGTCACTCTATCTTAGCATCTTCGGCATGGGCAACTTCTTAAGCAGCTTCCTCATCGCTGTCATTGAGAAGGCAACCAGTAGGGGAGGCCAAGTGAGCTGGTTCGCAAATAATTTGAACCAGGCACATCTAGATTGGTTTTATTTCCTTCTTGCTGGCCTCAGTGCAGTAGAGTTCGCTTTCTATTTGTATTTTGCCAAATCATACATCTATAACAAGGGAGGTGCCATCTGAGTTTCAAAATCCTATTACAGAGTTATTACTCACATTTGTGTATATATTAGAATACTATTTGTGCAAAACCTGATCACTTTTTGATTTTCAAGACTAAGGCTCAATTTGGTTGGAGTGCAAATACAAATGTATAAAGTGCAAAAACATATAAAATACAAGGTCTTGTACTCTATATATTTGTATTTGTACATCCCAAACTGAACCTAAAGCTGTGTTGGATTGGAGTGCAAATTTATTTGCATTAGTATAAATGCATGGGAGTACAAAATTAAAAAAATGCAAATTCTTGTTTAATTTTGTTTTAAACTTAACTGTATTCTGTCTCATGTCTTAATTTACTTCATTTGTACTGCAATCAAATAAAATAAGTTAAAACTTACACTCAAATCATTTACACTGCCAAGATTTAGAATCAATGCAAATTTATTTGCATTACAACCAAAAGACAGCCAAAAGTACAAATTTCGCCCCTTCAACCAACCACAGTAGAGACGGAATCTCCTGGAATAAAAAATTGTGTATACATTATGAGAGCATGTAATCCAGCAATACATTGGGAATATCTCCCGCAAATTAAACATACAAGTCTAAGGAGATATTACTGTTGTGTGGCTGGATGCATGCTCTTAGGGGGGTGTGCACCATTTTTGCTTTCAGATGATCCGGGCTCACCATCTTTCTCTTTGGATAAAAATTTACAATTAACCACAAAGATGTAAAGAACCATGGTTTTTAAAAACGAACCAGTGATCGAATTGGTCAGAGGTCCGGTTACCGGTTCGAATGGTCTGATCGTTCGATTCGAACGACAGGCCTGTTCTGACAAAAAAATAAAAAAATTTAAAAAATTGGAAAACAATCAAAACCGTTCGAACGGTTCAAACGATTAACCAGTTGGTTCAGCGGTTTGCTGATCAAAATCAACGGTTTTAGAGAAAAAAACGGTTTTGGAAGAAAACAGAACCGATCAAATGACCGATTCCCAATTTTTCTGGTCCGATCATCCGATCCAATCCGATTTTAAAAACCATGAAATAAACCACATTGCATTGAAGTGGATCTTGTAGGTAAGGGCTGAAGTTAAATTAAAATAGTACTCTACCAAGCCTATTTAAAGTAAATACTTTTTAAGTGTTAACAAATTGGTATCCCAAGGGTATATATTACATGTCACAGTTAAAATATTTTTCTTATGTGTTTATGCCTAACGCATAGTCATTTGGCGCATATATTTAATCTTATGGAAGCATTTTTGGGATTCATATGAATTTTCCTAATATATTTACACATAACAAATATTGGGCGTACTTTAAGGTCAACCCAGTCCCAACCTTAGAATCAAACATGCATGTGTGTATCTACATGTATATATTAATTTGGATCCAAGTGGAGCCGGGCTTCTTAATTTAGAGAGAAAGCCTGGACTTTTGGGCAATGTCCAGCATGAGGGAAGCATATGCAAAAATACAGATTGGATTGGTCTGGGTTTGGGTTGAAAACTTATACCCCTAATTACTAACATTGAGGTAATTATTAACAAGGAAACTGTTATTGGAATCCAATTCCAATTCCCATATGAAGCAAACGGGCATTAGAAATAGGCGATTACAATTTCAATTTTAATTCTAATCCTGACTGCCAAATAAATAAATCTCAAAGCTCAGTTTGGAAGGAGTGTTAATACAAATATGTACAGTATAAATACATACAAAATAATACAAAGTTTAAGGGTTTACACTCTATATATTTGTATTTATATTAAATTGAACCTAAGGCTGTGTTTGGTTGCAATGCAAATATATTTGTACTGATGCAAAACTATGGCAGTACAAATGATTTGAGTATAAATTCTGACCTATTTTTGTTTCAAATTTTAACTTATCTTGTTTGATTGCACTACAAACGAAGTAAATTAAGACATGAAGCAGAATAAAGTAAAACCCAAAACAATATTAAATGAAAATTTGCATTTTATTCATTTGCACTCTCATGCATTTGCACTAGTACAAATAAAATTGCACTTCAACCAAATGCAGCCTAAGACTCAGTTTGGAAGAAGTACAAATACAAATATGTAAAATACAAATCTGTGAATTTTGTATTATTTTGCATGTATTTACATTTTACATTTTTGTATTTATATTTCCAAACTGAGCCTAAAAGACAAAAATGCAAAGAATATTGACAAACAACTATAAAACGTAAAAGATATAATAAAAAATTTAAAAGAAAACAAACAAACTGAATTTCTCGAAATGATCACCCCAAATGGAACAACTTCCAATGTTGCAAGGTTCCTGTATGTTTCAATAACTTTCAACAATAAAGTAAAGAAAAGAAAATATCAAGCAAAGCCTACCTCTATACGTTTGGATCGACATTAAAATAAGCAGCATTAAAACTCTCTTCCTTCCGTTGTGCACTCTTTGCAGGTTGCATCAAACCAGCGTTAAAAACACATTAAAAGTCTAAAACACTAACCACCATTACTAGTTTCAACGCAACCACCGGTGCAGGAATTGAACAGTAAAGCGCAGCACTGTAATTAATATTTCACTATGAAAAAGATGATGAACAACAACAGATTTCTGTTTCAGTGTTCACTGTAATGTTTGATTGTTTTCCATCTTAATAGATGAATGGTCAACAAGGCATATATATAAGTTGTTTAAAACTATTGGTATATTGAATTAATTATTCCTAAAGCTTGGCCACCTCTCCCTTGAGACGAGCATTCTCCACCTCCCATGCCTCGGCCATCTATTGAAGACTATGCATCTGGTCGACTAGTATAGTAATAGTGCAGATAGCCCAGCAAATATACCCAAGTTAGCAAGCGCATCAAACAAATAAGGAGAGGAAAAACGAGGCCAAAGAGGATTACCGCCACGGTCTCACGGATAGCCGCTCGGGGATGCCCTCAGTCTTGGGGATGCCCCCGGTCACCAAAGTGTCCGCCTTCCGGTTCGGCCGTTAAATGTTGGCTTCCTCATTGACTGGAGTCAGAGGGGCCGGATTCTCGAGACTCCCCCGAGTCAACTACTGTCAGACGCGCTGAGGAGGTGCCTCCTCCAAGTCTATCTCGACCATGTTGCCCTCAGTAGACCTCGGCCACTTCGATTACCGAGGACTGCTGGAGTGTCGTTGCTGCTGAGCCGCACCCGAAGATTGCATTGTCGCCTTCCTCTGTGCGGTAGCCTGTATGCGCCACACTCTCTCCTCTTTGCCAACCATAAATAAATCTGCAAAGAAGAAGACATCAGTCACATATGGTTAAAGAAAAATACAAAGAAACTTGCACAAAGCGAGGACAGACTAACCTGGGGCTTCATCAGCCTGGCACGGACTAGCATTTTGGACGATGTGTACTCTTGTACATGGACCCTCACCAACCACCGAACGGCAGCCAACTCCTCTCTTGACAATTCGGCCTCGGTCAGGACCTCCACCTTAGTCTTTGGGGCCATTAGCTCGGTAGGGAATGACCAGCCCCTTGGGTGGCACACGAAGAAGAACCCTTCCTTCTAGTATTTCACTGAGGAGGGGCCCTGACGAGCACCTAGGTATTCGGCCGAGCTAAGTCTTTGGGATCGTTAGCTCGATAGGGAATGGCCAGTCCCTTGGGTGGCACACGAAGAAGAACCCTTCCTTCTAGTATTTCACTGAGGAGGGGCCCTGACGAGCACCTAGGTATTCGGCCGAGCTAAGTCTTTGGGATCGTTAGCTCGATAGGGAATGGCCAGTCCCTTGGGTGGCACACGAAGAATAATCCCTCCTTTTAGTATTTCATTGAGGAGGGGTTCTGATGAGCACCTAGGTATTTGGCCAAGCTAAGAAGTAGTAGTAGCCCTGCTAGTGCTTGTTTAAGTGTAGGAAGTATGTGAACATCAACAGTGTGATGTCTATGTTGTGAATGGTGCAATAACAAAGGAGCCCGACGAGGTACCTAAAAGAATTCAGCATAAGTTGAACCAATTGGATGTAGTGCCACCTCAATACAGTCACGATCCCAACATCAAGAGGGAATCTTAGAACATCTATTAGGCTATGTTGGTAGACACAAAACTCTCGAGGCTAGCCAAGGTCGCCCGTTCACCTATTCCGGGACACCTCAGCTCATACTCCTTGGGGATACAATACAACTCCCTAAAACAGGCTAGATCTCAAGGTGTTAGGCTGCAACGAGTGGAGGCAAAATGGACACAAAACCGTGGAGTGGTACCAAGCTCTCCCTCGAACACAATCTCTAAGTCGGCATCGTCGATCTCCCCGACGTCGACCCCCTCGACCTTGGTCATATTGGCGTTGGTCTCAAGAACCATGAGCATGAGAACCTCTTGTTGAGGCCCTAACTCGAACTCACTAGCCAAAGAGCTATTGCAACAAGAAGAAAAAATAAAGGATGAGGAAAAAGAGGAAGACATCTTACCGAAGTGGGTATTGTGGGACACCTAAAGCACCAACCGAGGATCAGACACCTGCCAAAACTCCCAAGCTAGCTCTCACTCGAAAATGACAAAAGTGAGATGGCTCGCCCCTCTTCATTATATAAAGGCAGCCAACAAATGAGATTAAATTAGACCAATGATGTAGATCTAGCATCGCACTATGCACACACGTAACCTTGGGAAGAAGAAATGGCGCAACTCGTATGGTCGACGGTGGAGAGTTTAGACTAGTCGGGTGACTCATTAGTCTGGTCCAACCAAACTTTGACCAACTGAAGAAGTTAAAGTTCCTCAGTTGAGGACTTTGGAGCTCTTCCACTCCATCGCGGTCAAGCACTACACTCCTCGACTTCAAAACTCGGGGAGTGGTGTTCAGGTGGTATTTGAGTTGGTCCAAGATGCCACATGTCAGTCTCAGTGGCTAAACACCTTGGACCACGCCACCACGTCAGCACCACCCAATGCGGTCGCGTCCTAGATGGATGGACCAAGGAGAAAAGTTTCATACAGACAAGGAAACGTACTCCGCTCAGGAAAGGGGAGCCCTCCGAGCACCTCGGCAGATAACCTCATCCCGATAATCCCACTGGCCTAATCCGACTACAACATAGATATTCAGCTATATATAGGCAACTCCCCCTCAAGGTAAAGGACTTTGGACTCTCGACTCACTTTAGCACCCATTGCATTCACCTCAATCTGGACAAGTCTATTCTCTTCAACTCGTCCCACCAACTTCCTGTCTTTTTACTAACTTGAGTATCAGAATACCTACCCAGAGAACAACTTCTCGGGCCTCTAATTCTCTTTATGCTTACAAGCATCTTTAATACACATTTTTTTCCTTCCAGCTTGAATTCATCTGGTTAACAGGATTATTTGCAACACTATTTGATTGCATCCTCAATTCAGCACAACGATAGCATAAGCTACGGTGATCACCCTTACAATTCACCGATGATCAAGCATAAGTGTAGACTTGAGTTCAAATCAGCCTCCCACAAGATTGCCCCCAGAATGCCCCACAGCACATCCCCACCATGTGTTGGGAACATCTCCCGATGATAATTCAAGAAAATGTCATCATTGGGAGATGTTCCGATACACGGAGGGGATGTGCTGTGAGACTTGTGGGGGGCTGATTTGATCTCGGTGTAGACTGTATTATATGGGATAGGTTTCTAGCAAATAAGGGCCCTTAATATCAATAAAAATAATATTTTTATATAATAACTAAAATAGGATATCCTTTTTGGAAAAATATCAAGAAAGGGCGTGGATCGCCTTCCTCCTTTACCTATGTATTCATGCGAATGGATCCACCTGAGCTATGATAATGTCTGAATGAGGTTCACGCAAAAAAGACAAATAATTTACAAATTGTGCCGGAAAACCACATTGCAGCTGCTGATGATTTTTTTTTTTTTCCGATTTGCAAGATACGACCAGGTACAGAAACTTGGTCCGGCAACATCTTGATCTTGAAACGGTGAAATCAAGGTTGGAAGAAGGATGATACTCTGGTTGCAGCTGAAAGTTCTTCCGTAATCTTCTTCTCCTCTTTAGCAATGCGATTGTATTCTTCCCCAAGAACTCGCCCGAGTCTTCTGCCGCAACTGCACTTCGAGACGTTGCCAGAAAGGAGATAGCGAATCCAGTACCATTCGAAATTGAACTACCGGATTCAATGCTTCTTAAACCAAAGCCTGCTGCTCCCATGATTGCCTGCTGTAAACGCAGTTCAATCTCTGCCAAAACTTCTACTACAACAAGTGTAGATAGGAAAGGGGAGCAATGACCAGGTTCTCCGACAAGGTTTCGTCGGGAAACAAACTGCATAGCAGAGCAGTCCAGCGAAAAGGAGTGTCGGACACCTACGCCGTCAAAGCGGGTGAGGGAATCTGCGGAAACGAAAGCTGTGAGCGAGGAGGTGATGGCAATTTTTGGCGATCTAAGTTTTTATTTTGTAACAAATTTTATTTTTATTGTTTTTTCGCTTTTTGCCTACTTGTTCGGAAAAACACAGAGGCAAAGGAAAGGAGGAAGACGAGCAAGAGTGTCTATTGCCCTTTCTTGATATTTTTTCAAAAAAATTATCTCATTTTAATTATTATATAAAAATAATACTTTTTATTAATATTAAGAGCAAAAAGTTGTTCTTATCTATTATAAACCCTTTTTTATTTCTTCTTCGTATAGTGGGATCGGTTTGAGGCTGGCTGGTTCGGGTCAGTGCAGTAAGCTCTTCAGCGCCAAATTGCCGAATTCGCATGGGCGCCTTTTACAGAGCGTGTCCCACACGGGCCCATATCATCTCTGTAAGAATACGGGCGGTGTTATCAATGCATGATAAAATGTGCATGTGGGCCGCGATATATGAATATGAACCCCAGATCGCCAATCCATTACAGATATTTGTTCCAAGTGGTCCCCACAGTATGTTCTCATGTTTCACTAATTGCACATTCTTTTCGACGTTTTCGTTATTTTCGGAATTCATAGCAGAGAGAGGATAAGGAGAATGGCTGTTTGCTGCGCTCCTACGAATGAGACTCCACTGCTGGGAAGAGGAGATACCGTAGAAGGTATGGTGGATTATAAAGGTCGCAGGGTTATTAGATCCAAGAGCGGTGGTTGGAGATCTGCAATTTTCATTATAGGTGAGTTTTTTTTGTTGCCTTAATTAATTCGTCTTTAAGGGTATAAGATTCGAACTTGACGGACTGCAGGAGTGGAGATGGCAGAGAGGTGTTCTTACTACGGGATTAGCTCCAACTTGATCAGTTATCTGACGGGGCCACTCGGGCAGTCGACGGCGACGGCCGCTGCGAACAAGAACGCATGGTCGGGGGCGGTATCCATGCTTCCTCTGCTGGGAGGCTTTGTCGCTGATGCTTACCTCGGCCGCTTTCGGACCATTCTCGTTTCTTCTCTCCTCTACATTCTAGTTAGTCTTTTTCTCTCTCCTCGTTTAATTTCATTTACACAGTTGCCTTTGCAGCCAATAGTCATGAGTTACTACTGCCAACAAAACACATTCCAACCCTACCAAGTTGATTTGAGATGTACGGTATCGAATCATGTTGTTAGGTTGTTAGAATGTATTCTATAGGCATAGGCAGGTGACCCGGATTCGATACTAATACAATTGAATTCATAGTGGATATTTTCGCCCGGAAAACGTACTACGTCACCGCTTGGTCTCTTGGCCTATTGTGTGTTGGGATTTAATTTTGTTTGTTGGTACGGATTAGGACCCCAGAACCGATTATATTTGCACTATTGGAAAAGTAATTAATAATTGGGTTATTACTTATTTTTGAAACTCCTATCCACTTTTTTCCGTTTCCCTTGAACTTATCCAGATTTGCCATTTGAAGATTAATTGTTTTTGTCAACTTACTATATTACCCCTCATCTTGGAGATTTATAATAGTTCGTAGAAATGTTCTAAAACTGCAATAAAAAGTTCTTTTAGCCAAAAAAGAAAAAAAAATGTTTTAAAAACCGATCAGAATCCAACCGCTTTAACCACTGGTTTTCGGGGCAGCAGTTCGGTTGTCTGGTTCGAATATATGGCCTGTTGTAATTCAAAAATTAAAAAAATGTTGTCTAGATCGTTGTTTAAATGGTTTTTGGGTCAAATGGTCTAACTATCCAGCTCAATTATGGTTCACAGATTTTAAGTCTATTTGGTTTGCGGTCTGAATCATAACCGGAATGAGAATGAGATTCTCTAAGATATAATTGGATATTCTGCGCTACCAAATGGCTGACCATTCTCATTCTGATTTCAAACCCCTATTCCAATGAATCAAAGACCCTTAATTGAATGGCATGTTTTTTTCGATGGTTTTATTCATTTGGGCCTCGTTTGATTCGTAGAAATAGGGGTCTATAATTGGAATCAAAATGATCTATTCTTATTTCAACTGTTTGATTGGATGGAATCAGAATCTCATTCCCATTTTTACTGGAATGACATTCCTCCATTTGAGGGAATGATCATTCCCTACTCCTTTGAGAATAAAATCTCATTCTTGTTGATTTTCATTTTCATTCTCATTCATGTTTCAACCAAATAAAATATGGGAATAGACCATTCCGATTCTAATTTAAAAGGATTTCCGACTGCAAATCAAACGGACCCTTAATTGAGCCACTTTATCTCTCATCAAATGGACTCTATTTTAAATAGCAAGTGTCAGGACTGGACATTGGGTGAGTAGTCTTGGAAACTTGGGAGAGTCGTTGCGAGCTTTATTTCCTACAAGTGGCTTTCAGGTAAATCTTTTAGTACCGAGTGGCCACTGTCATAATTTAATCTTCTAGATTGAACTCTACTTGATCCTAATGCTTTATTTCCCCTTCACTTGTCCAAAGAAAAATAAAATAAAATTGCGTTATCTCCCCGACTCTCCGTGCTGGTAAGAGTGGAGAGTGAGCGGGGAGGGTTTTCTATTCTTCTTTTGTTTTTTTTTTAGAAAATTCTTGTACTTTGTATTTTAGGCCAAATGTCAATTTAGTACCCAAACTTTAAAATGCACCAATTTAATACCCAAACTTTCATTTTGCGATAATTTAGTACCCGACGTTAATTCACCATCAATTAGAAGAATCAAGTGATATTAAATATTTTCAAAATACCAAACCTAATCTTTACGAAAATATACAGACCATTTTACCCAGTGAAGCACACTCATTGTCTCACTATTCTATTGTATCAATGGCAGCGTCGACGACATTCCTCTCCTCTTCCTCTTCCTCGAACCCAACTTCTCGTTGTCTTCCTCTTCTTCACATCCAGCCCCTCCTACAAGTCACCGACCATGGCCAAGTAGTCTGTTCAACAGTTGTATTAATGGCGAGTCTTTAACCTGAGACTAAGACTGCGAGGATCCGCTCATCTACTCGTCTCTTTAATACAACTATTGTTGTATCACCGGCCATCGCCATTGATACAACTGTTGTTCAACTGAGCACGAGGAGGTTAAAGACTAAGACTGAACAGTTGTATCACCGGCCATCGCTCAGTCTCTTTCACTTGAGACTGAGACTACGAGTCTGTTCAACTGTTGTATCAATGGCGACCCGAGAGTTGTTCGACTGCGAGGGTCCTTCTGTTGCTGCTGATGATTTTCCGATTTCGCCACCACCAGCTCCACCTCGTAGACCACCACCACCACAACTTTAGGCAGTTCGAGCGTTGGTTCATTGTGATGGAAACAGAGGTACCTCCGCCGCCATTTGGAGGTCCACCTCCCAGCTCTCACCTAAGACGAAGGAGGAGGTTCGGATGCTTCTCAATTCTAAGCATCTATGGTTCTCCACAACCTTGCAAGTTGTACCTCTGTTATTAGAAAATCATCAGTAAAGCTTTGGTTCTCCCATCCGTCGGAGGTCCAAGAGCTAGTCCATTGTGTCCAGCAAGCTCTGGTTCTCCACAACCTTGCAAGCCCTACCTCTTCCTAGAATATCTGTAACTCTCCTAAATCCAGCTCCTCTACCCTCTATTCTCTAGCTTCTCTCTCTCTAGATTCATTGATGAAAGATGGTCTGGCGGTGCAGCTAAAGAACAAACACCCCCCAACAGTTGTTCTTTATGCACTTGAGCTAGTCGCCGACAACGACAATGGTGGGGAGCTCAATGCCTTCTTTCATAACATTGAGGTGGCGCAGCTGGTCTACGGTGTCGAGGAGGGATCGAATCCGGTTGTTGTAGGAGGAATAGTGAGGAACTGCATCTTCGGTAACCTCAGCGTCTTCTTCCTTGGCACCACCAAGGCCAACATTGGCCATTGTGTCTTCCATAGGAGAAGTTGCAGAAGCCATGAGAGATCAGAGAGAGAATGGCATTCCCCCATTCCTATTACTGCTGGAATGGCATTCCCCCATTTGAGGAAATGGCCATTCCCTGCCCCTCCCTTGAGAATGAAATCCTATTCTTGTTGATTCCAATTTCCATTCCTATTCCTGTCTGAACCAAATATACTATGGGAATGGATCATTCCAATTTCGATTCCAGAGAATTCTGATTTAGATTCCAATTCTGATCCAACTGTGAACCAAATGGACCAGAGAATTAGAGTTTGGAGTGCTCATTTGTATTATTTTCCATTTGTATAGGATTTTTATTTTACATGCATAGAAAACACTCTACAGCCCATGTAAGAAGCGATATGTTGAAGTTGAAGGGAATAGAAGCGAAAGGGGTAGAACAAAAAGGACATATCTAAATATAGTAAGAAATGATTCAAGCATTCATATTATTTAACAATGAAAATGACATTAAACCAAACAGGCTGGTGAAACAGAATGCATGTAACTGACCCCATGTCGTTGGGATAAGGTTTGATTAGAGGTGTTAAAATTCGGATACCAAACTGAATAAGCCAATTCAGTTCGGTCTGATTTGGAAATTTTAAAAATATTTATTTATTATCTTTTGTTCGATTTAAAAAAAAAATCAACTGAATATATATATATATATATAATATGTATTTTAATTATAAATGTTAACATATTTTAACAATAAATATTAATATAAATATAACATACGTTTATATTTTAATTAACCAAATTAACTGATTTAAAGCCAAACCGAGCCAATTTAAATTCGGCTTGTTTCATGAAAATGACCTATCCTAAATGTGGGTTAGGTTTTATTTCTGAACCAAAACCGACTGAAATGAACACCCCTAGCTAGGTTTTATACAAATAAAATTATGATGGATATGACACTAAACGGGGTTCATGTCTTTAATATTATTCTTAAAAATAAAATTTTGATTTTATTTGAATTTGAACACTATTACATTTGATGGAATCACAGGGACTAGGGTTGTTAACAGTATCAGCAATTCATCCTTCTCCCAGCTTGCCTTACTGCCAGAATACAAGGAACCACATCTCATTACCTCCTTCTCAATTCCAAGTCTTCTTCTTTTTTGCCTCTCTGTATCTTGTGGCCCTTGCCCAAGGAGGGCACAAACCATGTGTACAAGCTTTTGGTGCAGATCAGTTTGATGGATGGAACCCAAGAGAGTGCAGATCCAAAAGTTCATTCTTCAATTGGTGGTTTTTTGGGATATGCAGCAGTAGCTTTATATCAATTGTGATCTTAAGTTACATTCAAGACAATTTGAACTGGGTTCTTGGATTTGGAATTCCTTGCATTTCCATTGCAGCTGCGCTTGTTGTTTTCTTACTTGGAATGAAGACGTATCGATACAGTGCGGAAGAAGATAGAAGCAATCCATTTTCGAGAATATACCAAGCGTTGGTTGCTGCGGCAAGGAACTGGCACACCCCTCCTTCAACTGCGGCTGTTGCCAAAGATGAAGAAGCAAGAGAAGAACTCTCTCAGCATGGCACACACCAATTCAAGTAAGAAACAAATAATTTATCATTCTTAATTTTAAGACAAAGATCAAGTGACTCATCTGATCTCTTTGGTGCCATGAATGTGGACGAAGGTCACATATCTTATCCATGAAATGACCATGCATCCATAATGGACTTTTTTTATGTGAGAAGGTCCATATCTCATGATAGTAATATATAAGAACTTTTAACAAAAATAAGTGATAAAATGATAGAAAGTAGATTAAGATCATAACCTGTAAAAACAAGTGATAAGCCCCAAGTTAGAAGTGTCTAGAAGGGCCAGGGCAAGATCAAAAGGGACATGGGCTCAAGTAGTAAAAAATGATTTAAGGGCTCATAATTTAACAAGGGATATGATCATATGGCACTAAATCATGCAATGTTTTAAAAACCGACCTGGAATTAGAATCATTTTGGCCACTGGTTTTTGGGTTGACTGTTCAACTATCCAGTTCAAACAGACGGCCCATTCTGATGAAAATATTAGAAATTAAAATAAAATTAAAATAAAAAAATGGCTAAAATAGTTTGACCGTCTGAGTCAACTGGGTTCCAAAACAATGCAATAAGCAGATAGGAATAATGAAAGAGGATTCATGCAGCTGACCCCATATACTTGGGTATGGTATAAATGATGATGATGACATATATGTGAGAACTTCCTAATCACGAGTCAGAACTTGAAACAGTGTCCATCCAATCCTTCAGACTTCTTGCTTTTGATATCTTTCAAATGATGCAGGTTTCTTGACAAAGCATTGACTACGGTCTCAAATGATCAATTAGGTTCAGATGAAAACTGGAAAATCGGTAGCATCAGTAGGGTAGAAGAAGCAAAGGTAGTCTTAAACTTGGTTCCTACATGGGCAACATGTTTAATGTATGGAGTTGTATCCGTACAATCCTCTACTTTCTTCACCAAGCAAGGATACACCATGGACAGATCCATAACATCTGGTTTCGAAATACCGCCTGCTTCACTCCAATCCATTATCTTTCTTTCGATTGTTATCTTCATTCCGATCTACGATCGTGTCATCGTCCCAATTGCTAGAGCTTATACTAGGAAGCCTTCTGGAATAACAATACTTCAGAGAATTGGAACTGGGATGTTTCTATCAATTATCTCCATGGTTGTGGCAGCAGTAGTTGAGAAGGTAAGACTTAGAGTGGCCAGAGAATCTGGGCTGATAGATATGCCACAAGCAACTCTTCCAATGAAAGTGTGGTGGCTAATTCCTCAGTATTTCTTGTTCGGAGTAGCTGATGCCTTTGCAATGGTTGGTCTGCAAGAATTTTTCTATGATCAAGTACCAAAAGGGTTGAGAAGCATGGGCCTGTCCCTCTACCTAAGCATCTTTGGCATGGGAAACTTCTTAAGCAGCTTCCTCATCTTTGTCATTGAGAAGGCAACCAGTAGAGAAGGCCAAGAGAACTGGTTTGCAAACAACTTGAACCAGGCACATTTAGATTGGTATTATTGCCTTCTTACTGGACTTAGTGCAGTAGAGTTAGCTTTGTATTTGTATTTTGCCAAATCATACATCTATAACAGGGGAAGTTCCATCTGAAGTACCTAATTTCTATTACAGAATTCTTCCTCACAGTTGTATGTATATTAGAATAATCTCATGAAGTGACTATGTGTGGAAAAGCTGATCACTTTCCTGGTTTTCAAGACTATAAAGTAAGAATGTTGCTATTTCAACCTCAAGGTTCAAAATTTCATACAATATGCGGTAGTTCTCGGAAACCCCAAATAAGGGGTATTTCAGAATTTCGCCACTTTCAGGCAGTAGGCATGCCTAAAACCGATCCACTGAAACAATTTTGATAAAAAAAAAAAAAAACTGAAAAATAAAATTATGAAATATCGAAACACCCGATATGTCTGTTCATTTGTATTGGGCACCATTTTTGCTTTCAGGAAATCTGGCCTCACAAATTTAAACCATCTCTTTTTTTTCTTTGCTTCTTTCTTTTTTTCTGGAAAAAAAATTACAATTAAGTAGATAAATACACTACAAATGCATGGATCTGGGTTTTGTAGGTATATATGGATTCAGGTTTAAATTAAACATATAACTGTAATCCTGTTTAAAGTAGTACTTTTAAATATTAACAAATTGGTCTCCTAGTGTACATGTATCGTCTTAACTCTTAATTAAATGTATTTTGGTATCTCACACCTCACATAAACTTTTAAAACGTCTTTCTTATGTGTTTATAACTAATGCATGATCATATTTAATTTTATCAAATGCACTTTGGGATTCATATGAGTTTTCTTAATATATCCAAATATATCTGGTGGACCATATCCAATCCATTCCTCCTAAGACCCTAGATAGCTAGGACCAAGATATATTCAATCCACCCCTCCTAAGACCCTAGATAATTAGGACCAATATGACTTTTTTCATTCACACATATCGGGTTATATTTTACCGTGCCCATGCATATTTAAGGCTCTGTTTGGAAGGAGTACAAATATAAATATGTAGAGTGCAAAACTATGTAATTTGTATGTATTTATAATGTACATATTTGTGTTTGCATTACTTCCAAACTGAGCCTAAAGTGTATTGTGATACATATTCTAAAGTTGCCTTACAACTAGGAGTGCAAGTAAGGCAGGTTGGGCCTGGTTTAAGGTCAACCCAGGCCCAACCCTAAAACATTTAGGTCTAAGGCCTGAACCAAACTGGGCCCAAGGTCAGGTTGTATCTTTCGAATCCGGGCCCATCATAAAATGAAATTTGACATACTAAGATTGGGCCTAGGTCCAAGTTGGGCTCCATTTGCTCAATCAAACTCAATAGGGCTTGTTACGTCCACTATACTAAAAAGTTGTTTAAATCTGTTTAGCATCATTAGTTTTAAACCTTTGAATAGGAACTTTGTGTATTTTGCATACAAGCCGGCATAAGAGTAGACAATTGTTTTGTATTTTAACTTTTTAAATAATTAGTTATATTTTATATACTACTTTTAACAACTTTTTTTACAATACAAAGTGAGGTTGTTATGTTCACCATGCCTCTCCTTGCTCCAAACCCCACCTCCTAATTTACTGCTCTTTCTTGAATTTTTAATTTTTTTAATTCCACATAATTACCCATTAAACAAATAAAGAAATAGCATAGGCTTAACTATTTTCAAAAACAATAAAGAAAGAGGGATTTGCTTTTCTAATATTTAGCCAAGGGGCACAACTTTCTCATAAATTGTCTATTATACCTTATCTCCTAAATTATCTCTAACTCCTATTTATCTATTAAATTATCTTTAATTTAGTAGAGATATCCCCTCCTAAACTATCTCTAATTCCTATTTATCCTCTCCCTCACATTTTATCTACATCTATCTAAAGAAAGTTTCAATTAAAAATTTTCATTTAAATATTATAACAAAATTATATAGTAAGTTTAAAATATTTATTCAAAACACAAAAATACTTATAATATTCATATTATTAATAATTCTATAATTTTACAAAATTCATCATGAAATTATGTAGTAAAAATATGAATCATAATGTTATGAACTATTCAATTTAAATGTTACTCAAATAATACAAATTTAACATTAAAAAACAAAATACTATTTAAATATTTCAATAACTAAATATCATCAATAACAAAACATTAAAATGGATAAATAATTATATAACAAAATATTTAATACTACATAATAATATTAAATAAATAAAATTCATAGAATGGAAATTTTTGAATATTTTTCATATTATTTAAATATTTAAATAACAAAATATTTAACATGACTAAATTTTAAATAGTTAAAATAACAAAGTTATGTAATAAATTTAAAAAAAAAATTCTTAATAGTAGAATAATTATAATAGATTTCATAGTATTTGTATTAATAATAATTTAATATTTTACAAAATTAATGATGAATTATGTAATAATAGTACTAATTATAATTGTATGGATTATTAAATTCAATAAATAAATAATATTTGAAATTTTTCAATAATAATATTATTTAAATAACTAATTTCACTTGTATCAATTAATAATTATAGACAATAACTTTCAAAAAATTATATTTTTAGTAATAATTTTACAATAATAGTGTATATTAATTATATTAATATATATATATATATATGCTAAAATTAATATTTCTTTTATTTTCAGTAATTATTTATTATATTTTTTGATAAATATGTTTTCAATCATTATTGGAGATTAAACACAGTAATTATTTATTATATTTTTTGATAAATATGTTTTCAATCATTATTAGAGATTAAACAACTTTATTTAAATTTTGAAATTTAATTTATTGAATTTTTCTTATAACTTTATTTTTAGTAATTATGTATTTTTTATAATTTATTGGTTAATATTTATTAGAGTTTAAACTATTATTTGAGATTATAGTATTTATTGACTAATTTAATATATCTTCAGTATTTTTTGTAATTATTGTATTTTTATTAGATATCATTGTATTTTCATTATAAATTTATATTCAATAATTGTGTGTTTTTGCTATAAATTTGGAATAGTTATTGGAGATTAAACTATTGTTATTTATTAGAGATTATATTATTAATTTAGTTGAAATTAGGAGTGTTCAAGAATTGGTTTAGTTCGATTGTAGGTTGTTCCCCAACCAAATACACTTGGTTAAGTCAGGAGTTTATCACCTAAAACCATGGTTTTAAAATACAACTTGGAAACGAAACCGTTCTAGTCACATGTTTTCAAGTCAACGGTCTAACCGTCCGATTAAAATGGACAACCCATTTTGACAAAAAAATTAAAAAAAATAAATATAAAAATTACCAAAAACCATTGAACGGATTGATGGGTCGACGGTTTGGCAACCCAAGTCAACTAGTCATTGACTTTTCCAACGGTTTTGGCCAGGGATCGGGTTTGGGGTGAAATGGAACCGGTTGCTTGGACGGTTCCCGAGCCAAACGGTTCGACCTTCTAGGTCAACGACAGTTTGAAAACCATGTCTAAAACCGATTGACCATGAGTGAAAACCTGCCAACTCAGGTTGTATCAATTTGGGTCTATTTTTGGTTTGGTTTGTTCAAAATATTTAAACTTAAAAAATAAATTTAAATTTAATAAATTATAGTGGTATTATTAAAAAATAAATTAAAATTTTAAGTTTAAGATATAAAATATTTTAGACTAAGAAATATGGAAATTTTCCCACTTTCCCGTATTAAAAATTTATATTTAAAATATAAAATATTAATATATTTCTATGATCGGGTCAGTTTAGTTTTGGTCGGTTTACAAATGGTCAAATCGAAACTGACCTAACTTGGTCGAGTTGGAAAATTGCTAAACCAAAGTTGATCGAAAATACTAGAAAATCGACCAACTCATGTCAAGTTTGACTAGATTGGTTATTAAAAGCTTAAAATATAAAACAATTATATATTCCTATGTATTTCTATTATTTAACTTTCGCCTAACAAAACCCATACACCGCACGAGTCCCCGCTAGTAATAAAAAGAGAAAACATGAAGCAAAGAAAGACTATATGCTAGCCGAGCTCCAAGCACCATGGTTGCTTGATTCCCCATCTCTTGAAGGTCCTAGGGAAGTAGGATCCCCTTGCTCAGCTCAAGCACCACCCTAGGCTCCTTTGTCTTCTCGTTCACCTGCACCAACCACTAGGGATAAGTAATGGGAATAACTTGGAGACCACTTGTACCTCTCCCGTGCTTGCATTTTGGGTCCCCCCAAGGTACCACTTCTTTAGTACTGAAAGCTATTAGGACCTACTCAACAAGAGGGATAGTGGAGTTAGTTGACTCACGTCGGATGGGCAAGCCACCTACTCCTTCCCTGTTGCATCCACCTGCCTTGTTGCCTTAGTTTCTTCAACATCAATATGTATGACATCTAGAGTGGTGGCACTCGCATGGCTGACCCTGGCTCATCTTTAGCAGATCGAGATGCTTTAGCCTTCACTAGCTTTCTCTTCTTCCATGCGCCGATGAACACTCTGGTGATGTCTACATTTGACATTCCTACTACAAAAAGAAAAGCACATTAGACATCCATCCAAGGTATAACCATAGTATATGTTTGGCATCAATGCTGCAGATGCAACATTGTTTTCTCAGAAAACAGTGCTACTAATGTATGGGTTGGAAGCACCATTTTTTGAGAAAACGGTGTCTTTTTTTTTGTTTGGAACCATTGTTGCCAGGTAGAACATTTCCTGGAGCAATAACAACTTTTTCTGTTTGGTACCAATGCCCCGGGAAACATTTTCAGCACTGGTACCCATTATCTAGTGCCACATCACTACCCGGTTGGTAGCAACAAGCTACAACTCCAGGAAACGCCAAATTTGACTCGGAGCACCATTTTTTATTGAAAAATGATTCCGAACAAATGCTTGTTTCCTAGGGCACCATTTTTTTCGACATGGCGCTGATGTGGCACCATTTTCTGGAGCAATGGCAATGATGCTAAACAGACGCGTAATAAATCAAAATTATCCAAGTATAGAAGAGGACCTACCTATTGGAATTAAACTAGCATGGACCAAGTTCCTCGGCTAAGTAGTCCCCGACCTTGATTTTCTTGTCGACTAGGTCCTTAACCAATTCCTTCTTAGCCCTAGTGCAAGATTCTCCATCGAGATTGTCTATGGCTATGGCCCACTTAGAAGTTAAAGACCATCCTCCTTTAGTTTTCACA